TTTGTACCGTGGCACAAAGCTTGACTCCCAGCATGCTACCGACTTTGAGCTCGCACATTGTCGCAGCAGCGGAGTTAAAAGCCCCGTCAATCTCTCCCACCACCCCACCTTCTTCTAAATCCCCTCGCCTTTCTCGACGTAGGGGAGCCATATTGGTGAGGTTTCCAATGAGTGCTACCAGGGGGTCCACAAAAGGAGACTGCCGGCTTGCGAGAAGCTGCTGTGTGTCGGATCGGATTCGAGCAGAGGTTTGGTGATCCATGAGATTCCTCCATCTTCTGGTGTACACAAAACGTGCTGGCTCTAGAAACGACGAACCATTGTCCTTGGTCTTCGGTGGAGCCGGTTCTAACACCCATTCTTCGCTCGTCGGAGCTCTCCTTAGCTCGAGGGCGAGCTATTCCCATCGTTTCGGCGGTTTTCTACACCACGAGTTCCGCGAGGTCGCCGACAGTGCTCGTGCTGATCTTGTCGAGGTTGCTGGTCGGCTCAGGTCTCGGCATGGCAGTGACAGTGATACATTGCCGGAGATCCGTGGGACGCTGTCCACGCTGCCACAGTTCATTGATTTGTGCTCCAGAGGCTGAGGAACAAGACGGACATCTCAGGTGAATCCTCTTGGTTTTCGTTCTTTGTTTATACTCACAACTTCTTTTCATCTTTCCAGCGGAGTTGGCACTGTTGGTGGAAGGATTGGGTGTGAAACCGGCGGTTCATTGGTGGATCCGACCACAATGCCTTCCATGATGGAATTCCCTTGTATTCCCAGCTCGGGCTTGAGGCAGTGTAATGCTCCTGGAAAGAAAGATCACACTGGATGAGCAAAGGTTGAGAAAGCAATGTACCTGCGATTTTAACCGCGCTTGTTATTTTTTGCCTCGGGCATATTCTACGATCATCGGTCTTCCTTTAAGCATGTATCCGTGCACAAGTTGCAATGCACGGGTTGCTGCCACTACGTCTGGAATGTTCAAGATTTCACGTACTGCCAAGATAAACAAGATGCGAACCTGGGAATGTAACAAAGGCTTGACCCTTCATTCGTCCTTTTTGCATTAGTCGGAAAAGAATTTGATCGTCTGGTTGTTTCTTAAATCGAAGAAACAATGCGGCTAGATCCTCCTCTGTGACTTCCGAGCACAGATTCTTGACGTAGAGAACCTGAGAAAGAAGCGATTCAGCCTTTACCTAGCCACAAAATGAACTTACGTTTGAAGGCACACCTTGCTGGTGGTCTCGGAACTTTCCATCCGACCATTTCTGCAACTCCTTGAAAGAAAGCCGGTTCGAGGCGATATTCTCTTCAGAAACCATGGGGGGATTCGTTTCCTCGTTCCCGGTACTTTTAGCGTCCTGAGTGGCTTCATCCAGATAGGTGTCCAGATCCAGCAGTGGTGGAGCTGAAGATGAAAACACTTCCGATGACGATCTCGAAATCTCTTTCCCAGATTGCATTCGTGCTCGTTCCTAGTTATCAAAACCTCAAAATCAGAGAACGAAAGGAAGTTGGCGACAGTGAAAACTACCTCCGGCGTAGTGCCACAGCAAACGACGCTGAGCTCAGGCAAAGGTTTTCGGAGAGAAACACCTGGATCAAAACAAATACTGAAGGATACTTGTAAAACCACACAAAAAAGAAAGCTACCTTCCACAGTAAGATGTGCTATATCTTGCAATCTTTGCTTTCCTTCGATCAAAGAAACTTCCAGCTCCTTCTCATGGCGTCCCATTTCTTGCTTCACAGCTATGGAGCTCTCTCGAGAAAGAGCTTGCTTCTTTCGTTCCATCTCTTGACTTTGGAAGAACACCGGGTCTGGACCATACCTCTGGCGTTTGCATTTTTCCTAGAAAATGAAAGAAGACCAGAAAAAACTCTAGCTCCAAGAACAAAGAAAGAAATTCTTCACCTCAGGCTTTTGGATCCCCCCCTCGTCTTGTTGCGAGCGAAATTCTGCCAAAGTCGAGACTCCTCCAGCCCCGTGAATGCCTCGATAGAAAGATTGTGTAGCTCCCTTGAATTCCACTTGCTCTAATCTATCCATCCAGCAAGAATGTGAGCCAAATAAACCATAGACTCGCGCGATCCATGGATCGATCGATCGAACATACCTTGCAGAAGTAGAGAGCTGTCTATCGAGGAGATGCTGGAGCATAAACTCCGCGCGCGTCACCGGCGCGCCTATACCCTCGCCTTCTTCCTCCATTCTTCTCAAGAACCCTAAAAATATTTTGAGGTTGCGATGAGCATCGTCAGAGCGCCAAATCGCGCGCTTGCAATGGCGGGCGGCGCCGCTGCTCCTACGCCAGCGCAGCAGGGCCGCATTCTTTCCCTCGTCCAGGGATGCGCCAGGGATCAGTCTTTCGGAGGTATGGCAGGATTTCTTCTTTCCAGTGCTGGAAATCGAAGTCCATGCAGAGGGCCAGGTAGAACAGCTCAAGAAGAAGAGCGCGGAGCTCATGTCGCAGCTGGAGCTCGCAAGATCGGAGCTGGAAACGAAGAAAGCGCGCAAGAAATCCGCGGAGGAGGAGCTCAAGTGCCTCGAGGTGGAGCTTAGCAGCGTGGAAGCCACGATCCAGTCGCGACAGGTGGAAAATATTGCCGATCGATCGAAATATCTCCTTTCTTTGGCAGGCAAGGCTGGAGAGCAAGCAGCTGGAGATTGCCGATACGCGATCACTGCTGGAAGAACTCAAGGTAGGAAAACCTCTCATGAAACTCTCTTGATCTAATCACCATCGCGATCGATCGATCCTTTCCAGCGCAAGGAGGAGCAAGACAGGTACACATTGCTCGTTCTCGCCAAAGTATTTGACACTGATTGTTTCGATCCAGGGACCAATTCATTCAAGAATCGCTCGAGCTGAATGCGAGCATTCGCCAGCTCCAGGAGAGCTCGTTGCGAATCGTGTGTGAAGCTTGTGAACGCTGCTAGCGTTACCAGGAATTGGCATTGGCGACTTCTATAACATTTTGGGTATTCTGTTACCAGTTTTGTTTTAGGGTTCTTCGCGATGGCTAGTGGAGCTGGAAGACGCGGGAACAAGGCGGATAAGGTCTTGGAGTACGAGGCCTTCGTGGACAAACGCCTCAAGCCGGACCTTGTCCGAGCTATTGCCGAGAGGTAAAACTTTCTTCTTCTCTTTCATTTTGGTGTTTCCATTGATTCTCTTCTCCTGAGCAGGGACAAGCTCATGGAGCAGCTTAAGACTTAGTAAGTATCTATCCTTTACTATTTCGCTATAAGATCGCTAACTCTTCTTTTCTTTCTAGCTCGGATCTTGCCACTAACATCAAGATGCTAGAAGAGAACAAGCTTGCGAGGCTAAGAACCATGGTGAACTTGGGATCCGAGATTTACTGCCAGGCAGATGTGTAAGCTTTCAGGTACTTGCCTGGCAGCAGGCTCTAAATCCTTGAGTTTCTCTTTCAGGCCAGACACGTCGCGTATCTTTGTCGACATCGGCCTTGGCTTCCACGCGGAGCTCTCTTGGAAAGAAGCCTTGGACTTCATCACCACAAAGACAACGATCCTTGACAGGTGAGCGTACCACCAATATTTTTTTTATGTTTCTCTAGAGGACAGTTTTCAATAGGACTCATGAGCGCGATTCTAATGCCCAGGCAAATCAACGAGGAGACGAAACGTGTCGCGAGAATCAAGTCTCAAATCAAGCTGGTATTTGTTTCCGCGATTTCTTCGATTTCTCCTCCAGTGACATGATTGATCGATCTTGTTCCAGGTCTGCGAAGGCATTCGCGAGCTCTTGAATTTGGGGCCAGAGTGATACTGGGTGAAAGTTCCATTCTAATCGAAACTTAAACTTACTAGTTGGAAGTTATACCTTGGAAGATTCTATTTGGGGCAATCGCCGCGTGGAGGTTTTGACACGTGCCCTTCTGTGGCAGACATTAACTCATTTTTACGACAGCGTGACAAAACGAATGACCATTAGTTAAAGTTAAGAAAAGGGGGAAAAAAGAGGAAGGTAAAGGAAAGAAAAGCGATGGTGCTTGCGATTGCGATTGTTGCTCGTCATGGCTAGGGTTTCTTGGTGCTTGTAAGGAGAAATAGGGTTGGGGATGCCAAGGTGACACGATGGCCCGTTCCTCGTGAGGGCGCGCCGCGCGATCGGCAGCTGGAATGGTAAGCGCGCTTGGAAATTCTAGTCCCCGCTCACAAATGCTTGCAAAAAATCTCCCAGATCGCGCGCTCTTCTTCCGGGCCTGGAATTCGTCCTGATTTCGCGATCTTGCGCTCGCCCCGGCGCTAGATTTCGGGAAATTCGGGGGGAAGCCCCACATTCTCAGCGAATGTGTTCTTGATCGCGGCGGTCTCAATCCTTCCAAGACGGGGGCTGCTTGCTGCGTGGCCGCCCGGCGGCCACGCAAGTCTCCCGAGGACGATGTGGTGGAGCAGCAGCGGCATTACAGGCAGAGAAATCCCTCCCAGGTCTCGGGTAGCTGGGGCAAGTCCCCGGTGGACGATTTCGAGGTCTCGGTCCATGGTGGTCCGCAGCTACGCAGGCTCTCTTTCTCTTCTGGGAGTAGAAGTGGAAGCCGGATAGCAAGCTCGCCTGTGAGCCACCAGCGGACCTTTTCTGGCAGCTTGTTCTCGCAGGGTGTGAGCCCCTCGGATAGCTTTCGAACTTCTCAATGGAATTTCATTGGAGGAGCGGCAGACTACATCTTTGCTCTACCAGGTACTTGGAAATGGGGTCCCATGATTTACTTTTTTTTTCTGGTTTCTCGTTCTAATCCGTTCTTTGTTTGTCATAGATTCGGTTAGCCCTTCTGGTCTTTTGCATTCCAAGGAGGTATGCATATAGTTCTCTTCTTTATGTTGGTATGCCATGATCTTAATTGTTGTTTCTATAGTCCTTTTCGGAACCCGCATCTTCTCATCGAGAGAGACTGAGATGGACGAGTGCCAGCAGCCCGTCGGATTTTTTCTCTCCCCAGGACTCCACGAACATTAGCATGGAGCAGCTCAAAGTTGCCGGTTTGCTCCGGCCCCCGGTTGAGCTACTGACTTGCGGCCTGTGCGCACGCTGGTTGTCTCAGGCGTCGCCGCTGAGCTCACTGCCCGTGGTTGGAGTTCTCTCCTGCGGCCACGTGTTCCATGCGGAGTGCCTCGAGCACTCGGTTCCACAGGGCCAAAAGCAAGATCCCCCATGCCCGCATTGTGTTTCGTCGGAAAGGGCCCTCAAGAGCGCCTCCAGCAAGAGTCTCACGCAGTCATCGTCGTCCAAAGGCATACTCAAGAGCTTCTCCCACGCCTCGACGTCCGCAAAGAACAAGCTCTCCAGAGTTGGCGTGATAACCGACGACGGTTCAGGGGCCGGAAAGGAGCCGCAACTGAGCAAGTTTCCGTCGTCAAGCGGCTCCTCCAAGTCTCAGCTGTCAACTTTCTTCGGTGACAAGACGACTCTCGGGAAATCCATCTCCAAGCGGGCGTTCCCATTTATCAGAAGGAAGGATTCGCTGCTGGGCGAATGCAGGTTCCGGAAGCCGGGCTCTCCCGCCCGAGTCTCGCCCGAGAAAGATTTCACGGTCGAAGAACACAGCCAGTCGAAAGAAGCTCGGTCGACTTCGTTCAGGAGCCCGTGAACAGGTGCGCATGGTGGTGCTCTTTGGCAGCAGCTGTAAGATACGTCATAGGACGCCAAATCAGTGTATGTGCCTTGATACCGGTCTGGCAGCTCTCGTCTGATTACTCCGTTTCCTTCTCCATCAAATCATCGTCGTCGACGCAATGGTCTGTTCAATCAACAAAGCTTCTCTCTTTTTTTTTCACTCTTTCTCTCGGCTCGGGTAACACTTTTACTTTATTGAGATGCTAACCTTGGTTTGAAGTCTTTACAGAGCTCGGCTCAAGAGAAGGCCTGCATAAGCGGCCATGAGAAGAACCGGAAAGGCCACCGTGAAAACACTCCCCACCAGCTTGAGCCATCGGTTGAACCTCGGCAGCGGTGCTCCAAAGCACGACCAGAGAAAGACGATCCAGACGCCTACCGCTACGCCGGTGGTTGCTCCATCGCTGAGCTCCAAATGGTTCTTCAAAGCTCGACACAGCACCCCGGTGGTCATGTACGAGAGGCTAAACCAGAGGCAGCGTAGCATCATCCTGGCAACTCGGTGACGCTCCTTGTCATCCACTGGGCACTCGAGCTTCACCAGCAGTGCGACGATCGACTTCTTGCTCTTCTTCGCCGCCGCTGCCGCCATCTTTCTCTCGGGTGGAAACGGAGGCTTGTTCTTGCCTCTCGACTCCGGGGACGAGCAGCTCCGGGCAGTGACCAAGTAGACGGCCATGAGCATTCCGGCGGTGGCAATGACAGAGGCAGTGAGAAGACTGAATGCTAGAGGCTTGTCGCCGGTGGCACTGGAGCTGAGAGTTACCTGTAAGCAAGTGGAAGCAATGACGCTTAGGGGCGTCATGGCCACATTAGCGACCGCTGTGACGACGTCCTCGCGGTGTTGTTCGTGCTCCTCGTCTTCTCCGGCCATGGAAGACGCTGCTGGTGCTGGTGCTGGTGTTGGTACCTCCATCGCTGGAAGTGACAACTAGTGCTCTCTGCGCTGCGAGCTTCTTTTTAGCGAGGCCGGCTTTACGTGGAGTGTATCGCAACACGCTGGTAAAAAAGCTGGCGAACTTATGTGTGTGCTGTTTTTGCAGCGGTGATTTCCACTGCTTGAGGATGTGTGTAGTGCACACAAGAATCGTTTGGGTTTTATTTTATCTAGCAGGGAATCGTACGGACTATTTTCTTGTTTTCGGTGCACCAACGAATCCACTGCATAGTCTTTGCGTCTCTTAAATGCTCACCTCTTTTCTAATAGTTGGGATACTGTTTCTTTCTTTGATTTGATTTTTTCCCTCTTTGCGTGTGATATCAGTATCGTCTTGAGTCTTGAGCGATGGCTATGGAGTGGTGGTCCGCGATCATAGCCGCTTTGGCCCTTGCAAAGTCGATAGCTCTCAACCTGGTGATTGCGAGGGTGGTGGGATTTGTGTTCAGTTTGTGCCGCCTTCATGTTTTTGTGAGGAGGAGATTGGCAAAGCAGGGAATTCTCGGCCCCAAGCCTTCATGGCTCGCGGGAAATGCAGTCGAGATGAAGAGATTGGTGGCCTCTGCGACGTCGGCTGATATGAAGAGCACCAGTAACGATATTTCTGCTCGGCTGCTACCTTTCCACCACAAACATGCACAGACTTACGGTACGGCAATCTTATCACTTCTTTCTTGGTTTTCATTCCGTGTTGCAGGGAAGAGATTTCTAGCCTGGTCTGTGGGATGGGAACCTTTCGTGAGCATCTCAGAGCCAGAGCTGATTCACGAGATTTTAAATTCGACCGATTTCGAGAAAAGTGGAATTCAAAACAGGTTTATGATGCCTCTGTTTGGCAGAGGACTTGTCATGGCCACTGGAAAGGCTTGGGACCATCAAAGGCGGCTTCTCAATCCTGCTTTCTACGTCGAGAGAATCAAGGTGGTTTATGCTTCGACGATGGTTTCTTCAACTTTTACTGACTGCTATACTGCGCAGGGGTTCCTTCCAACGATAAACTTTTGTGCGAGTGGCCTGGTGCAAGAGTGGAAGGGATTGATTCGCAGCAGCAGCTCGAACGTTGTGGAGGTCGACGTCCATTCCGTGCTCACGTCGGTCACAGCGGACATCATTGCTAGGACGTCTTTTGGGCACGAGTTTACCCACAGAGAAGAATACGTTCGCTTGGAAAGAGAGCTCGAGGTGTGCGTTTTGAATCAACCGGCGTTTTGCTTGATACCCGGCTACAGGTAACAAACACACGCTGTCACACGCTATGCATTGACCATTTTCGTCTCTACAGATATCTTCCTACTAAACAGAACAGGAAGCTGTGGGAAATCACGCGAAAAATTCGAAGCTACCTCTATGAACTGATTGATGCTCGGCTTGCCACCGGCAAAGATCACTTTGGTGACGACATCTTGGGCTTGCTA